GCAGCAGCATTGGGCTCAAATGTAGCACAAATTGTGCGGTTGGCCCAGGATCGGGCAGTGTTTCGTTCTGTTGTGCACAGGGTTGCTATGAGTCGGTACCAACTTGATGACACCTAACAACAACAACAACAACAACAACAACAACAACATCGCAGTGTAAGTATGCAATACATTTGTGTACCCGGGCCGTCAGATGGCACTGCTATTAAGTCCTTTGAGGGGATGGGGACATCTGCATGGCTTGCCCGTTTGTGAAAGGACAAAGGCATCTTAGACCTCATGCTCCCAACTCTGAGCGTGTGGCCCCCTCAGCTGATGGCCCCTCGTGGAGTGGGATGGATGACTGAGTGTACCACGTGGGAAGCCTGCAGGCTCAGGAGTGGGGACTTGTCCGGAACCTCAGAATGTGCTTACCCAGGAAGACAAGGCCCACACTCGGCATCATTCTCCGTGTCCCCCGGCGTCAACACCGTGGCCCGGAAAAAGCCCTCACAGTCTTTGTGGCGCCTGCATATCTGGTAGCCTCCTTTGGAAAACTTCTCAGCTGGGCATGGAATACAGTCGTAGTCGTCATCCTTGGTACCGTAGCCACAGGACTGCCGGGGGTGGGGGGGTGGGGGGGGAAGGATACAGGACGCATGTGACCACAGCGATGTCACTCCTAGCCATTCAGACAGGTAGGCTCAGGGCAATGACACGCTGGCTGCTTCATCAACGTCACACTTGCTGGGCCTGGGCTTCCTGACTTAGCCCCGTTGTACCAGCTGTAGTCCTGGGCAAGACTCCTGGCATGGTGCTGTAGGGTTAGCGCTGGACTGTGAACCACAAGGTCGGCAGTTCAAACCCACCAGCTGCTCCTCGGAAACCCTCTACAGGGGAACATAACACCACCACCTACGGTCCTGAGCAGCGCTCCTTTCCCCCAGTGTTCTCTGGCTTCAGACGCTGCCCTTGTTTGTTCCTCTGAAGTAACTTCAGTCACCCACTACTGTGTTCTGGTTAAGGCCTACACTTAGCCACCGGTGCCTAACTCTTGTCAGCTGTCTACCAGCTGTCCTCAAAGCAGCCTGGACTCACAGCGGTCCTGTGTGCCTCACAGTCGAGCCGTGTTTCACGGGGCTTTCAGTCAGGCCCCCCTGACATTTCTACCCCAGATACACTGAGGTGGTGCCTCTGAGTGAGCTTGGTTAGCATCTGAATAACAACTAGCAGTTATCTACAAGAACCCCGAATCTTGAAATCATGGGCATGTTTCTTAGTTCTTAACAGAACATACATGCCCAGGCTTCCCCAAAGGAGAAGGGAGCTGGGAACTGAGGAATAAATATGGTGTTATTGAAGGAGATTTCTGTTGTACTTCTGATTCAGACAATTGGGAACGTTTTCATCGTGGTGGAATAGAAAGATAATTGTCCTCTAAAAATACTAAAAGTAACTCTGAGAACTCTGTTTACAAAAGCTGGCGATTTCCCGTTGAGGTAAGCACTGTCCTTGTACTCAGAGTAGGTCAGATCCCTCAATGTCTAATGACCATATAAAAATAAAACCCAACAAATCCCAGGCCCAATGCCATCACGTCAAGACATGCAGGGTCTCTGAGACTAAGTCTTTCGGGAGCAGCCAGCCTCATCAGTCTCTGCAGATCAGTGGTGGATTTGAACTGCCAGCCTTACGGTGAGCAGCCCAGTGTCTACATCACAGTCTCCCAGGGCCCCCACCACATGCAGAAGGAAGCCGTTCTCTGGGTCCTGTCATTGAGGGTCCCCCAGCCCAGGCGTGGCTCCTCACCATGTAGGGCTCCTCGCCTGGCCCGCACTGTGGACACTCCTGACACAACCCAGTAGTCTGGTTGTAGTATTCATTTTCGCCGCAGTTGGAGTAGTCTGCTCTGGCTGAGTACATCAGAGACACCTGTCACAGGAAAGAGGGTCAGTCATGGCTTCCGTGCCTCTGTGTTGGTGTTAAGTGCTGGCGAGTCCGTTCCGACTCAGAGCAACCCTGTCTGGAGGTTCTGAGGAATGGCTGGTGGGTTTGAACTGCCAACCTTGTGGTTAGCAATCCAGTGCTTATCCTACAGTGCCACACCACGACTCCCATGCCTCGTTGTTTTTGCTGTTGTTATTGTTATATGCCGTTGAGTTGGTTCCAACCCATAGCAACCCTGTATAGGGTTTCTGAGGAGTAGCTGGTGAGCTTGAACTGCCAACCTTGTAGTTCGAAACAACTTTGCAGTCCAGCGCATTAACCCCCAGCGCCACACCAGGACTTTGCTGTTGTTGCAAGGTGTCGTCAAGTCAGTTCGAACCCGTAGCGGCCTTCATAATATCAGGTATAATAATACCCAATGGAAGGAAACAGTGTCCGGTCCTGAGCCATCCTCACAACCGTTTACCTTGAGCCCACTGCTGCTGCCACGGTGCCAACTCCGCCTTATAGGGACCGTCCTCTTGTCACTGACTCTCATCGGAAACACAAAATCCTTTCTTAGGGTCAGGGCCTGGGGAGCCGAGACAGTGGCGGAGAATCTGTCTGGTGCTCAGTCCCCAGTACTTTGCATTTTGTAAGTGCAGCATGAGCCACCTCTGCCTTCCACCAGCAGGTCTCCCTCATGCTTGAACCCAGACCCGAATGGTGCGCCCCTCATTCCTGCTGCCTGGAACCCCACCCCATCTTTAGGCTCTGCTGCATTGCTCTCTTCATACAGGCTATGGATTTAGCTCTGCCCTCCCAAAACACATTGTAAATGCCAACACCTATAAGGAGCTCTGGTAGCGTAGTGGTTACGAATCAGGCTATGAACCACAAAGTCAGCAGTTCGAAACAACCAGCTGCTCCGTGGGAGAAAGATGAGGCTTTCTGCTCCCGTAAAGATTTATAGCTTTGGAAACCCTGTGCAGGGTCGCTATGAGTCAGAACTGACTCCACGGCACATCACCACCACCATACAGGAGGAGGGAGTCCTGGTATGGAGTCGCAGATAAACACTTGACTGCTAACAGTAAGGTTAGTGGTTCAAACCCACCAGCTGCTTCTTGGAAACTCTTCTTGGAAACCCTATGAGTCAGAACTGACTGAGCAGCACTTGACAACAGCAAATACAGGTGGATACAATTCCATTTGGGAACAAGGCTTTTTGTTTGGCCAAGGAAACGATCTCAGCATCTCTCTCTGCGCCCTAGAGCGGATTCCACCACACAGTGACACTGAACAGTCTCTGAGTCTGTAAATCTTCACAGGAGCAGAAAATCCCATCTTTTTTCCATGGAGCAGCTGGTGGGTTTGAACCACTGACCTTGTGGTTAGTGGTCCAGCTCTTATCCTACAGCGCCACCAGTGCTCTCTGTACCTGTGTAGGGTGTGTTTTAAACCAACTGTGTTTGAGATACAAAAAGGAGCAGATTAGGCACAGACTTGGGGGAGCACTTATGCGGGGAGAGAGATACCACAAGAAAGATGGTCGGGGAATTGGGGGACAGAAACTGTAAAGCGACCAAGTACCTTCCACAGAACCGACACAGAGGGGAAGCTGTCCCCCCAGACCTGGCGCCCTAAATTCAGCCTCCTAGCCTGTGAGAAGAAGGGAGTCCTGGCGTGGCACTGTGGGCTAATACGTCAGACTGCAAAGTCGGTTTGAACTGCAAGGTTGGTGGTTCAAGCTCAGCAGTTGCTCATTGAAAACCCTCTACGGGGTGACTATGGGTTGAAACCAACTCAATGACATTTAACAACAATAACATAACCATGAGAAGATAAAATGTCTCTTGTTTAAATATCTGCTTGTGGTATTTCTGTTATAGCAGGGCTTAGAAACTAAGATAGCCATGAAACTTTCTCTCATCCAAAGGATAGGCCTGGCTGCTCCCTCCAAGAGCCTTGAAGCCGGCCAGCATGGATCCTCCCAACCTTGGGTAAGTCTGCTGGCTTTAGGCAGCGAGGAGCAGCCTCCACAGCCCACCTGGAAGCATGTCTGGTGACTGGTGACATCAGAAATGTGTCTTTTCAAACTGTGTGTTCCTCTCATGGCTTGATGGTCATCAGATACTGAGTTTTTGTATTTTAAAACAAATATGCATTTAATGAGGGTTCTCTCTGTGATGGAATGATAATACAGGGCCATTTCAATGAAGCCCTGGGGTGGCACTGTAGGATAAGTACCAGGCTGCAAGATTGGTTTGAATTGCAAGGTCAGTGGTTCAAACTCAGCAGCTGCTTCTTGGAAACCCTAGACAGGGTCACTATGAGTCAGAACCAACTAGAAGGCATTTCATTCACTACAACACCATTGAAATATGTTTAATTTGAAGTAAGGACTGTGTTTGGTGCCTTACAGGGCTGATCTTCCCAAGAACCCAGTGAGACAGGTGCTACTGTTCCCATCCCTATTTCACAGCTGGCCCAGGGCCAAAGAGCAGGGAATGGAAGCCCACACTCCCATCAGCTTAGACACGGAGCCTTGCCTCTCCCCAGGACAGAAGAGGGCTCAGTGAGTTTACAAACGGTAGTGGAGATCCCCGGTAAGGTGCATGGAGCAGCTCCATGTTCGGACACACTTACCACCAGGACAGGTAGCCAATGAGTCCATTTACAGTCCCCCACGTGGGCCATCCTCTCCTGGGGGTTCACCTGCAAAGACACGCTTCATCAGTACCAGGTGGGCACCAGGAGGGATTGCAGGCTGCTCTGTGGCCCAGTGCCTCCCTGTCCTCTAAATGCACGCAGTGCAGACCCTGACCTTCCAAGAACTTCCGCCAAGCCCCGCCCTGTGCAGTGGGTGCTGAATGAATGTCTTCCCTCCCCCAGTCCTGAGGTCAAGCTGCCTTCCAGGAAAATGTGGCTTCCTCGTGGGTGTGACCGTTCATTCAGCACACAGAGCGGTGAAACAAATACACCCTGAAGCTGAATTCTGGTCCCAGGGCACCCTGGGCTGACTCCACCCATCCCTGGGAAAAAGCCTCAGAGAAGGAAGGCCCTGGAGTTGCCTGAAGGGCCCGTTGTAAACCCAGGGTTTAATGACTAATTCCGTGGTGTGCTCGGAGAGCTTGGAAGCAGTCAGGCCGTCCTGCGTTATACAAGCTGTAAGTACCCAGTGTGCATTAGGCTCTGTCCTGATCCCCGGATTCCTTGCATAAGGGGGGTTCCAGGGCAACCAGAGGATTCCAGACGATGCTGCCAAGTCTACAAAGCGGGTTCAGGTCTTCATCCACTTCCCTCCATTAAGGCTTTTCAATAAGGAAGCTCCTCTCTATGCTACGAATGGGTCATTCCGCAAGATAATGAAGAGAATGTTGTAAATTCAATTGCTAAATTTTGAAGTTGAAAGAAGTAAAACCCCAGAGAGGCTACTAGTGACTTGTCCAAGGTCAGGCATCTAGCTAATGGATGACTACCTCGGAACTGACTTGATGGTACTTAACAACAACAACCACTACCTAGTACCAACTACCAGATTAGTACAACCATTTATTCACTTTCGGAATAGGAAACCTGCATTTCCAACTCCAGAGAGTCTTACACCGGGAGCCTGGTTGTCTAAAGACAACAGTGTCCTCATGTGAGTGCCTGGTGTTGATGTCAACTCGCTTCGAACCTTCTTTGACATGGTTGTCTTGCTTGCTCTCTTTAAAGATGGGTTTTGTGAGGGAGTCTTCCAGAACCAACTGCTGGCACTGAGCAGAAGTATAAATGGGTCTTGGAAAAATCCCCCAAGAATTTTCAGCCCTGAATCCTCTTGTCCCTGATGAGCCACCAGTGTTCACGAGAATCAAGACTTCCTGATCCCACGCACACAGCTCTGTGTAGGATAGCTCAGGGCAGAGATGATCAGGGATGAGATATTCATTCTTCTATCTTAGAAGAAAAGCTCTGAATGTTGTTCCTATGGCATTCAGGAAAAGAGCTGTCAGAATATCATCACTTAGTGGACACAGAAGAGTTCGAGGACAAAGACCGTGCATGTCAGGAGCTGGAGCAAGGCAGGATGCTGACCATTCCCTCAAACTGACCAGAAGACCAGTGGCTGGAGGTGGAGAACAAAACTCCTTGAGGTAGAGACTTGGTCTTACTCTTTCCTGACTCCCCAAGCCCTTGAAGTCTTACTTAGCGTGGTTTTTTGAAGAGCTGATACATATGTAGGAGAAGAACGTAAAATACCAATACGCAGAATGTGGGAAGACATCTGAAGAGCTTTAGGCTTCAGTGATTCTTAGTTTCTTCGTTCCATCCCTGAATGCACACAAGGCTGGTTCCTTCAGGGGCCACCAGCTTCAACCATGGAGAGGCATGTACCGTGTTTTCCATAGGAGGAAGTTTGATACAATCCAAGAAGAGCCCGAAGGTAGCATGCTTGTTTATAATCGCAACAAGGAAACTCAACTAAACAAAAAGCCAGGGGGACACCAGTTCAGTGGAATACCCTCTCCTTTATGTGGAAGTATATGACAGGCTGTCTATCGGAGCCATGGTATAAAGCACTGGACTGCAAGGTCGGTGGTTCAAACTCACCAGCTGCTCCTTGGAAACCTTATACGAGGTCGCTATGAGTTGGAACCGGCTCAACGGCACTTCACAACAACCATGTATTGCTGGGTGAAGATGAGCGCATTGGAGAGGCTCAGATGTCAGTGTTTCTGTGTTTATAAAGGTTTGGGTTGGACATGTAATGTCATCCACTAAACTTCCAACAAAGATTTTTCTTGCAGGGAGTGAAGTAGGGTGGGAGTGATCAAGGCCTTGAGGGAGGAACATTGGGGGACATTCACTTTTTTTTTTTTTTTTAAGTGTTTGTTGTGAATTGAGTGATAGTTTACATGGGAGAACATCGTTTTTACACTCATCGTCTCACTGCAATGATTACAATCCCCTCCGTGCATCATCATTCTACAGTATTTGCTTTTATTCCCTCTGTTGTTGTTGTTGTTTTGGGGGGATGTACACAAAATCACTCAGGAATATATAATCTTTTAAACACTCAAAGGGTACATTCTGTAAGCCTGCCTCCTGGCCACCAGCTCTCAGTCCCTCTCTGTCCGTGAATCTAGAGTCCTCAGCTGCTCCCTCTTTCCATGTTCTCATCTCTGCCTCCATCTCTGGGGGGGGGGGGGCGGGGGACATTCACTTTTCATTTCCTATAGTTCCTTATTACCTGAATGATTTAGAATGAATCTATTCTAAGTTTTATAATTAGGGGGAAAGGTAATCAAATCATGATCACTTTGGGAGAAAGATGCCTCTTTGATTACTCTAAGCATGGGTCTGGGTGATGACTGAGTGGGTGGGGGTCCCTGATGCTAAGGAAGGACTTACTGAGGCCCGGGGTCTTTCCCTGACCTGATGCTTTTTGGCCCAAAGTCATTTGCTGAATGGCATCAGGTGGCATTTGGGGAAGGGTGGAATTTCCGGATGTCCTAGAGAGACACAGACAAAGGTTTCTTCCACTCTCAGGAGCACAGCCTTGCTATTCAATGCTAAGTTAACGTCCCACTGAGAAACACTAAGCAGAATCCGGCAAGATGAAAGCTTCCAGCCACCCCAGCTGTGAACTCGCTGGGTGTTTTCCTTCTAGCAATGGGCAAGCTGGGACAGGCCATGAAGGGAAGCCAAGGGTGCCCTAGTGGCAGCCACATGGGAGAGGAGGCTAAGGTGGAAAGGAAGGCAGGGCGGGAACCTGGGCACCCTCACCTTGGGCTCAAATCCCTGTCTTGTGCTTCAGGATGATGGTGTTAGCAGAGGTGGGCTTCCATTGGGTCTGAACAGAGCCTTGGGCTGGAGGCGTTCCAAGGAAAATTCTAATGGTTTCTAATTATAGCTAAGCCTTGGAGGGCTGCCCTATATGTACTGAGAAAGAAGGGCTGGGCCTCACCTAAGACCCAACTCAGAGCACTTCAAGAGAGGCTCATTAAAAGTGTTCAAGGTAGACCCAAGGAAACAGGAACAAAAAACCCACACACAGATAAACAAATATACAAAGCAAAATAAAAAGTCTGTGGTTTGGGATTTACTATTATTACTACTATTACCTATTCTCCATGAAAGTCAGTGGGGTCAGGGAAAAGAGGGGAGTGTCGCTGTCTACTTGGGATTCTGGTTCTGAAACTTTATTTGCTTAAAGAAAATGCTGACTGCAGGCACAAGGCAAACCCGGGAAACAGCGGCTGATCAGCCTGCCCCAAGGGTGGTGGCGACCCAGGCCCCTCCAGAGTTGGGGTACTCAGGATTTGCTCCCACTCATGACTGTCCGTTTATGAAATCTTCCTAACCACCCCCTTCAGTTCAGCCTCCCCAGTAGCAGCACCTCCCAGTGTGGTCCCAGAATTCAGTGGCTGGAAGGCCAACTTGGGGTGTGGGGAGCTCTCCTGCCTGGAATCCCCCCTAGTCATAGCAGTGCTGGGAAAATGCTAATTTTCAGAATTGCCTCCTTTGTGAAGGACCTAGTTCTGGGGTCTGCAAACTGTGGGTCCACAGGCCGAATCCAGCTGCCCCCTGTGTTTGTAAAAGTTTACTGGAACACACACATTCCCGTTTGTCTACCTCTTGTCTATGGCTGTTTTCGGAATCCGCACATTGGGCAAACGGTTGGTGTGCTCATCTGCTGATTGGAAAGTGGGATTACAGTCCGCTCAGAGGCACCTTGGCAGCAAGTACTGGTGATGTGTTGTGAAAGACAAGTCATGAAATGGTTCTGGGAGCACAGCCCAGGGAGCACGACCCAGGGAGCACAGCTCTGGGAGTACGACCCAGGGAGCACGGCCCAGGGAGCACAGCCCAGGGAGCACAGCCCAGGGAGCATGACCCAGGGAGCACGACCCAGGGAGCACAGCTCTGGGAGCACAGCCCACGGAGCACGGCCCAGGGAGCACAGACCTGGGAGCACAGTCCAGGGAGCACAGTTCAGGGAGCACAGACCTGGGAGGACGACCCAGGGAGCACAGTCCAGGGAGCACAGACCTGGGAGCACGACCCAGGGAGCACAGCCCAGGGAGCATGACCCAGGGAGCACAGCCTAGGGAGCACAGCCCAGGGAGCACAGCCCAAGGAGCAAAGTCCCGGGAGCATAATGCTGCTGCTGTAAACTGAGGCTATCATGAGTTGGAATCAACTGGTGGCAATTGGGAAAAGGGCGGCTTTCAAGATGCAGAGGCAGAGTTCAGTAGCTGCCTGCGGCCTGAAAGAGTTACTTCCTGACCTTTTATAAAACAAGTCTGCCCACCCCTGCCTCTCCTCCCTTCCACCTACTCTCTGCTTCTCTGCCTTTTGGCTATTCCTTCTTCAACACAATTTCCACCTAGAATAACAACAAGACAATACTAATAACTGGATACTATAAACTCAGTATTTACTCATTGAACTCTGACCACTTAGCAGGTCCGGCTCGTCCTGAATCCATACATGACCCTATGAGGTAGACACTATTGTCATCCCCATTTTACAGAAAACGAGGCACCCACAGGCAAAGACACTTGTCAATATGTAATCCGGCCCCTACTCACAATAACTACAATTCTTCCCACTTCTGTCTGGTTAGTCTAAGTATGGTGCTGTGGGATAAAGCACTGGACCTCAAGGTTGGTTTGAACCACAAGGTCAGTGGTTCAAACTCACCAGCCACTCCTTAGAACCCCTAT